CAATTGAATCTTATTTTTCAAGATACTCGCGCGAATCGCAAGCAAAAACAATCTTACACACTCGTCTCTGATGTGTATTATAGCACTCGTCCAACAGCTCGGTCTCCCAGTCGTCCTCTTCCTCTTCGCCAGGATCAAAGTTGTACATTGGCATGAGTCTGTGTCTTAAACGCTCCAACTTGCGCTTTCTCGATACAATCAGCACCTTTAAAAACAAAATTTAGACGTTAAAGTTCGAGAAATCTTATTCATACCTAACAAGAAAAACAGGTAAAGTTTTGCTGAAAAAGAAAAAGAAGCATTTGCCGCGATTGTACTATCGTATTTTGTATTTATCGGCAAATCTCATAAAACGATAAGATATGCGTTATAAATTTTAAAACATGTGTAAAAAAATAGTACATCACGCATTGTGTTAATAGTGTTAATGCTCGCGTAGCAGCATGTTTAAAAATAAAAACGAGGACAGGGGAAAAACGTCACAAGGTAATGACAAAAGTGATATCGCTACCCATACCACAGCTGATAGTATAATAACAGAGACCACCACACCGAGTGGCACAAAAATATATTCCACTCCTTCGGGTGGACCGAACTCGTCGAAGGATTCGGTTGTTGTTGTCGGCGTGTACGTCGTCGTGCTTCTCGAAGTGTTATGCGATATCGCCGTAGGTTCGGACAGCAAAGTTATGGCGGTTTTGGATAAATTCCACAATCGTTGATTGTTCTCGCTGTCCTGTGGCAGCTCTACGTACGCCGTCGTGGGCACGCTGTCATTGTAGACCGTACTCGGCATGCTTGGGGAGACCGTTGCGAGATCGTTCACCAGTATAGTGTACAAAATAGACTCGGTGACGTCCGTCGCGTTGTTGTACTCTCTCGTATCATTCGTATCATTATTCTCGTGCATCTTATTAGAGAAAGCTCGGTTAATTATTGCTAAGCCATCAGTTAGTCGCGCGAGAAAGCTCCTCGCAGGTGTGGCACATAATTAATATCTTACAAGCTTCAATAAAATTAATAAGTGTTTCTTCTCAATAAATAGGCATGCATGAAACGAGACGTGTCCGCTCTTTCTCTCTCTCTCTCTCCTTACGCTATTACTTCTCAGGCTTGGGGTTGAATATCCTCGAAGCACAGACAGACCATCCAGATAGACCCAGGTAATCTCTGGTTCTCGTGGGAGACGTGGTTGTCGCGGGTCGAGTCACTTTTCCGGTCTGTTTATTTTTTCTCTCTTTCCTCGCGCTCCGTCAACAAACATGCGCGTTCTTCGCCGCGCCGCGATAACCGTGATAGGCGGTATCATGTGCTCGTCGTTGGATACCCTGTCATCCTTGGATATCGGTTTACGCACGTGTCGATGAGGTGAGCGCCGACGTCATCGTCACCTCGGTCTTATCAATTATTCACCGTGGCGACAGACAGATAATCCCGGCTCTGTCGTTGAACGACGTTGTAAGAGCACACTCTAATATTGCCGTGGATCCACGGAGAGGCTCCAGATTCAGACAGACTCCATCGCGTCGCATTATCCGCTGGACAGCGATCCTCTTCCCGAGAGTTGGTCTACCACCGCGATTTATTCGGCTGTCGCTGCATCACTGCGCATCGCTGACGTTATAGTATTTCCACCGTGGCGTTTCCCCCACGGCTCCTTTTCTCTGTCTTCCTCAATCCTTCCCCTCGGCGTGACGCGTCTTAACTCGACATCTCGACGACGGTATTTCGCACTGATGATCGCTGATCGCTACGAGTGTCCTCGTCCTCGACCTCGACGATTTGCGCATGATGCGAAAACGACAGCAGCAGACGACAGCCGCGGACGCAAGCGCGGAGCACGAGGGGGCCTCTCCTCCGTCTCGTCTCCGCGGAAAGTGGAATGGAAAGCGGAAACTCGAAACGAAATCCTGAAAGCCCCGTATCTCTGATTACGCGGATGACGAGTGGCGGTTCCGACTCACAATAGATTTATTTTTTATAACTAAACTTTTAGCTATATTTAAAGTAAAATGAGTATATATTTGAAATTTGGCGAAAGCGAAGAAGGGAAGTTCTAACGAAGTTCAGTACCGCAATAAAAAAAAGAAACCTAATTATATGCTGATGATCAAAGATCGCAACGTGTAAATTAAAACATTTGATCAGAGTAGGTTAATTAATATAAGGATTGCGTTGCTTGCAATGTTTGCATTTAGAATCGCTTATTTTCTCCAACACCCGAGTATGTACATTTACCTCGCTTTAAGATAAAATTTGTGGAGTTCTCAAGCAACACGAACGAATCTATAATCACAATATAGAATAAAAGTATAGCTGTGTAGCAGACGGTGATCCGGAGGAGTTTGCGAACCACTGCTTTTGGAGGTTAACCCCAAACTTGCCGCGACGCGTCCGAAAGGTTAGGTCTCGACTCCGAAAAGCAGACTGAAGCAGACGACGAGCTGGTTGACGGTTGACGCGGGTTTACACAGG